GTATATATAGAACGATTCAAGACAGTCCTGACCACTGACCAGGGCGGAATCAATTTCCTAAAAGAGTGGCAATGATTAATATAATCATCAGTCTCTCTCCCAACAACTACGTTACCTGAGAGATGAACGGGATCGAGTTCGTTTTCCAGGTAGTTTCGACCTTTTCTTTTTTCTAATATAAGCGTTTTACGCCCCATAGACACAGTTTGTTCATGTAAGAGGGGAGGTGGACATCGACCCTGCATGCCAGGGCCAACCCGGACTAAGCAGGATACAACAACGTCCCAGCAGAAAAACCGAGATACAGGAGAAAAATTCTCACTGCATGGGATTCGAACTCTGGTCTTCTGCGTACATCGGCGAAGCCCCTTACCTCTACACCACAGACGCCGGTGATTTCCATTTAAAAAATCAATACTTGGAATACATCGAAAACAGTTGACAGCTAGGAAGGGTGATTAATGTTGGAAGAATCAGGGGATTAAGCTCAAATAATATATTTTCTTCTTCTCCAAGTTGTTATTTTTTTCGCAAGATGTGACGGGTCCTTTAAAGTACATTTACGTGTTTTGAGTTGGCTGTCCTGTAGTTAGGCCACTTAACTTGGCTCGTACTCTTGAGGTTGCGAGTTCGGGATCTCTAGACTCAGGCCAGATGTTGCGTACTTGGAAAAGGCACTTTACACGAGATTTCATCACTTCGCACGACAGGTGTGATATCGAATGGGTACCCGGCCATAAACAGAGAAAGATTGAGATTAGTTCATGAATCTATCAAATTGTGGGGGTAATAATATAGATTGTGTACAGCACAGCGCTTGCTGTTGCTATACAATGTTATACATTATTATGCAAACGTGATATTTCTAGATATGTATCAGTTGTTTGCAGACTGCCCTTTGTTGTATTTTTTTTTCATTGTTTGGTAAAGAGAGGGATTATCGCAATGTTTTGATATCCCGATAGTTCGAGAAAACTTATTAATTATTTATGTAGTTGTTTTACGCCATTATTGACTCAATACACTGGCGTCTGTGGTGTAGTAGTCAGGCGCTTCTTTGTCGCACACAGAAGACCTGAGTTCGATTCCCGTGAGGAGGGAATTCTTTTTTCTAGGAACTGCGTTTATTTCCTGAGGCTTTGTACACCTCTCAGCCCGGGTAGTCTCGATGAGTCCGTGAAATAATAATAATAATAAT